ATATATCTGTGAATTCAAGTATGCGCAATACACTTGTTTCTCGCGATATGCCTAAATTCTAGAGTCGGTTGTCGCAGCTGTCTTATTGTTGTCAATTACGAAAGCTCATAAATAAACCTATAGTACTAATGTTAGCAGAGAACGTCGCAATTATAGAATACAATGTGAACAATCAAAACGATAGATAACGTATAGATGATTCAACCAGTTCAAAGTCATTAATTTCCCATATGGGATACTGATATCATATGCCATGTGTGCGCAATATTAATGAGACAGGGTAGAGGCTAATAATTTAATTAGAGTATCACAACAGCTCAAAGACCTTGTTTGTATCCTCGGTGATTGGTATATCGGCAGCAGGAATATCATCGGCCAAAGAAAGTACAAATACAGCATCTTGTATCACATAGAAAGGCTGTATGCTGTCACCACTACATAGGTAAGGCGTCCGGGTGAATCGGTCCACCTACAATGTGTATAATTATAAAATTCGTTAGTTTGTTTGTGAACTGTTTCGGAAATATTACCTGGAGAAGAATGTGGTGAATTCAAGACCAGGAAATGTTTAATCATTAGCACAGAGAGAAAAGAAAATTCAGCCATCAATTGCGGGAAACCTCAATTACACTAACTCGGCACATCTATGAGAGGCACAATTGACATATCAAGTAAACGATTGGTGACTGCTTGTTTCACAGCAATATAAGGCTTGTCTACAAATACGGGCGGATTCTATGTAGGTAGAGGTTCTTGTTAACTGTACTAATTTTTACACTTTTGCCGAAGCAAATCGATCTTGTTTTATATATATCTACTTAATAGACATGTGTTATGTATATGTATGTGTGCATATATTGCAATACATATGAATGTAAATAGGTATATTATTTATATATGTACATAGACATAAAATATACATCACATCATGTACGCATACTAATAAGAAAATATTAATACATCACATGAATACTTACAGTTGAATTAAATGAATACCTACATATGTGGACAAAACACAATTCATTCATAACACGCAAACATATCAATATATAACCATTCATCTAAATACGATTAACTACAAACATACTAATATGAATGTTTTTGAAATCATTTCAGAGTTTTCATAAGTGGACTATAGAATTGCAATTCGTCGAAAACTTAAATAACAAACCCACGCAAAATACATACAATATATCATGGGAAGGACCGAGCCCAGAGAACTGACAGGTAGACAAGAGCATACAACCACCACTTACGCGCAATCAACCCACCTATATGTGGTCATAGATTGATGCGATAGAAGTAGTTTTGTACGGTGTAGATTCAATACTTTAAGACACCTTGAAACCGGCGGGAGTGAAGTATGTGTTTATGAGCCAAGGAATCCATTCCTCCCAATTATTTCTGCCATTATTACAACATTTAGGTGTTGTCCTAAGGGCCTCTTTGGGAATCGAATCCTTTGGCGTAATCCAGCTCGTGCCTTCTTCAACAATAGGCTTAAATGGCAGAACCACCGCAATTAGCAACCGACCTACGAAAAGGGTGTGTATGTATGTGATTCATGTAAGCAGGCTGTAGTGTACATAACAATAAAATGCGGTTGATAATCAAGTGGGGAGATAACTGCCTATGGAAGCCTATATTAGTGAGCATTGTCGTAGACAGCAGAGTGAAACAACATTTGTGCAATTTGAAGTATTGAGGACAATCTTGGACTGAATACTGATACATTGCTGTGAGGGTTTCTAACGTACAGCATGTCGCATGAATTCGTAACGTAAAACAAAAGCGAACAAACCCGATTGCAATTTGTACTCGTATATACTTGCTCACTTGTGCATCCGCCGAAAGAACTATCCACTCCAATTTCAGTTTTGAAGCATAAAATTGGAGCCATTCACCTTACACAAATATTCCAAGGCTGGAACGAAGCCACCCCAGCGTCTGTAAGTGGCTATTCTAAGCTAGTAAAGTGCAATTGGCGCTTCGCGGGGGATGAGTACGAAGAAGTCGGTCTACGGATTCAATAGCAGTGATAGCTGAGCATAGGACACGGGGGAGACACGTGCGAGGGTAACTATCTCATATCGTACAACGTCTGCGTAAGCGATTTCGACTACATGTGCTAGTATGTATGTATGTATGTATGTATGTATGTATGTATGTATGTATGTATGTATGTATGTATGTATGTATGTATGTATGTATGTATGTATGTATGTATGTATGGTATGTATGTATGTAAGTAAGTATGTATGTATGTATGTAGCTCGACGGGGTACCCTGAGATGTTCAATGGCTCTCCAGACATGTCTTCGACTTCTCAATTGTCATGCGAGCTTTGTTCTATTTGAGAGATCAATGTAGGATCTCAAAGCGATATACAATCAATCTTATCCTCTCCACAAACTCGCATTTTCAGGTCATCACGGACAATCGCACATAGCGAAGCTGCAGCTTGAAGCACACCATCCATATGAACACCCCACTGCTTTTGCTCATACATACCAGTGTCTGGCTTTAGGAACTTCTTGATATCGTGTAGTATCTTCATTGGGTTGTGACACCGGTCGAGTACATTGAGAAGACTGACCACGTCATATGTCCTGCCCTCTAGCTGTGGATGGTTCAATGTGCCTGTATTTATGTTCTCAAAGCCTGGGTACATATGATGTAAGCGATAGCACAGTAATGAATAACAGAGGCTGTTTGACAGTATGAGAGCAGCATGCACGTTGAGAGTATTATGCACGTTTGTGATACGAAAAAGTGGTTTGCTCTTGATGCATAGACTAAGTAAAAAAGGCCTGTACGACAATAAAAGTAATCCCCCAGAACCCAAAAAATCTGATACGGAACGCATATTGTGAGTTATGCAAAAAAAACAGGGGGGGGGAAAGGACATCATTTTACCAAAACCCCCCCCCAAAAAACTCTTCTTTTCAGAATGTATTAACAAGGTAAAAGTTGCGCATCAAATTCTCTCTTTGGATGACCGGGTGTGTGGCTATAGTTTTAACCAGAATTTGCATCACACAGTGTCATACCTGCGAGAATGTGTGCAGAGCCCACTATATGCCTTCATAGGCAACACTAGATCCGACACCTGAGCTGCAAGTGCCAATTGCGCACATAGCGTATGATCGATACATCAGACTCTCAATCCCTGCCAACCATACTTCTCTCTACACACGCCTGCGCTCTTACCAACCGCCTAGCACACACCAAGTACCAATACATACCCAAACGCCCCAGCCGCCAGACCATCACCGGCGACACCTCCGTGGCCGTCACGTGGTCAAACTGTGGGGCCAGCAGGGCTGTGACAGCCCCATCACCCGCACCTATATCCAACAGAGACTTTCCTCTGCACGTCTCTGTCTTCTGGTTCTCACGGTCGTGTGCTCGTGTCGTTTGGCTGGGACGGTCTGTATTTGCGCTTGTGTGTGGCTCTGTATTTGTACTGGTGTCTTCCTGTGTGCCTGATGAGCTGCCAGGATCACGGGAGCTTGCTGTATTGGCGTCGTGACTGTCCAAGTTTGATACATCGGCAGTTGTGTTCGGGCCGTTGAGCATCGTTTCAAACTGTGCCCGTGAAAGCACGTGCATGCTTCCACGGTATGTGGCGCCGTTCACCGAGGTTCGGGATACAAACGGCCGGAGGATTGCCATGGCAATCGGCTTGACAAGCGTGGACAGAAGGGAGGCTGTTTCATCCTCTGACCACTGGATCCAGTCCCTCGTACCTTGGTCAAGGTCCATGGGCACATAAAGCTCTGCAGGAGCATCGTATTTGTGATTTAAAAGTAGCGTTAGGTATATATTCTTGCGAGACGTGGTGTATGTGATCCGTTAAGGCTGTTTCAAACCCCCGAGGCACCGCGTCTGCAGTCGATTGCCATATATGTACAGTTTCTCTAATTTTCCTTTGAAGGTCAAAAATGACCTTTGGGTTGAAGGCCACAAGCCACAATGGTCATGTCTATACACACACGCACGCATACTTTTTAAATCATCGCTCCAGTAGCTTTGATCGCATTCGTATTTGACAGACTTCCAGGGCGACGGCCTGGTGGCTTGCTGGGCCGCCCAACGTCGATTCACGAAACCCATCTTATCCCACTGGAGAGTAGTGTTAAATACTCTCTCTGTGATTTGAAATCGGGCTGTAATTGTAGGTAAAGATGGAGTGGCACTGTTAGGGATACACCTTTTAAAAAAAACGCTACACGCTATAAAAAGTCAGATGTACCAACCGAAAGAATCGCAGACGTAACTACCAGTCCGCAATGATTCGTATGCCAGATGCTACAATATATGAATTTTTTTGGTACACCGTTGCCATATCAAGGCTTGTGTGACCACATATGTCTATCCGAACAAGTGAAATACATCGATTGATCCCAACATCCAGTAGTTTTCCTTTTGATCATGAGATTGAATTTATCCATCATGTAATCTTTAAATGAAGAGAGCGTACAATCTAGATGATGGCATCTGTGTACATACGAACAAACGAATCATCGACAATTGCAAACTTGCCAAGCTGATACTCGCGTGAGGTTTCTCATCAAGTTTGCGTTTGTGCTGACTTCTCATCCAGTTTGAGTTTGTGCTGACACATGGTATATTCCAATTGCTATGATAGCAAAACAGCCTATTCTATAGCATTACGAATCAAAACTTTGAATTAACGCTCACTGTAGTCTCGAAAAAGAAAAGTGGACACTTAGATGTGAATGAAAAGTGTAAATACTACTATATATTTGGACGCGACAACGGGTCAGTCTCACCATAAAGTTTGGAATTCAGAACGCGTTTCACAAGAAATACGTTCGAAAATAGCCGTGCAAATCAATGATATAGACAACATAAAAGAGCCGACTTCCCCGAACCAGATATAGGTATATCTAGAAACCTAACTGCATAACTCAGTATGAAACACTTCCACCAGCTCAAATAAGACGAAAAAACCTATATATATATATATATATATATAACATATATACATACATACATATATACATACATACATACATACATACATACACACACACACATA